CCCCCCGCCCGCCTGCGGCACGGGCTGCCCGGGCGTTTCGGGGGCTGCCCAAGCCCGGCACCGCGGGAGGGTTTCCCGGCGCGGGGGCAGAGCAGCTTAAAACGCGCGGCAGCGGGCTGGGCTGCTCCGCGCTCGGGCAGAACTCCGTGCGCCCCGAGGGAGCCCTGCAGCCCTCCACCCCGGTTCTGTGCGCCCCGAGGGAGCCCTGCAGCCCTCCACCCCGGTTCTGTGCACCCCGAGGGTCCCCCACAGCCCCCCACTCCAGCCCGTGCGCCCCTGGGGACCTCCGCAGTACGTCGCCTCCACCCGGGGGTCCCTAGCCCAGCAAGCGCGGTCCCCTAAACGCAGCTCCGGGTTTTCGTGGTCATTGGAGCGCAGAACTCTGACGTTCAGGGTTGTTACCCGTAGGTGAGTTCTGCCGTTCTCCCAAAGCATGCTGATGCGTACAGAGGGAAACTTTTAATAATTACCAAAAAAAGCGTATTGCTTGACCTCGCCTAGGTAGCGAAAGTAAAAAAACAACGAGGGGAGGATACAGATGGGAAACGAGAGCCAGCGTGAAAGGAGAGCTTGCTTTTTGCCTTCCAAAGAACAACCGAAAGCTTGTGTGTTTGTTTGCTTCCCGATCCCTGAATAGCGATGAGTAGCTGGAGGGAGGGCTGTTCTCCTGTGTCTCTGCAGCCTGTTACTACTGAATCAGTCGATGGCAGCACTTCAGCGTCCTCTGGGCCGAGCCGGATCTGTAGCACAGCACTTTATTATCCAGCAGAAAACCTTCCTCAGCTCGGTTAATGTGACTGTGGTTGCTGAAGGCTTGTCTCTGTACATGCATGTATGTCATAAGTCTGGGAGATTTATGTGGATTTGATGGAAAGACACTGTATTACTCTTCCAGGCAAGACATCTGTACATTTGTGACTTCCACAAAAACTTAATTCAGAGTGTGAGAAACAGAAGGAAGAGGAAAGGCAGCGATGATGATGGTGACTCACCGGTGCAAGACATCGACACCCCAGAGGTAGTTAAATAGTTGTTTTTTTGCTAATTGTTGAGTTAAGCTTTTCTTATGGACTACCAAGTCTGCATAGATAGCACTTCCCGTTCTTCCTACTCTCCTTTCTTGAGGATGTGTGGGAAAGGGAAGACTCTTGATTCACTCAATTCTTAATATAACAAAAATTAACTTAATTTTGTGGTATTTTTTTCTGTATTAATTGTTCAGAATAGAATTTAAAAGATTCTCCAGTTTATTTTTAAGTGTCTGCTGGTTTTCTTAGAAAATTGCTGTTTTGAACTTTCTCCTTCTTAGTCCTTCCTCTCCAGGAAGATGCTTTGCTACAGATCAGCAAACTCTGTCTTCTGCAGAAGCTGACAACTTGAAGGGAATTGCACACAGGACTTGGGATATAAATGCTTTGCTGCCCCATCCTTCGGATCCTTCCCTTCTGTGCTAAATGTGTGGCAGATGGCTCTTGCAGTTACTCTGTTGCCTTAGTTTAATGAGGAAAGTTTAATAATGGTAGTTCTTTGGATTTATCACTTGTTGAGGGAGAAGATGCTCAGGGAGCTGTGCTAGAAAGGAGTGGAGAGGGATTGTGCTTTTCAGACCCATTTTCTCCACTGCAGACCAGTGAAACCTCACCCATTGTAAAAGTGAACTGCAGCCTTCAAAGCTTTTGCATAGTGTAGTGGGAGTGACTGCACCTAAGGCTCTTTTTCTTACACGTGCTTTGGATTATTTCTGCTACAGCCTGGCAGGTGCTGTTCAGTGTGTTAATTTTAAGCAGAGGGTGTCATGCCTACCTGTTTACTTCTAGGAGGGATTGTTTTTAAGCATTCTTCAGAAATTGCTCTGCAAGTGTTAATGGCATCCTTATGGTCAGTGTCTGCCGATACCAGCAGCATAAGTGATGACACTTTGTGCAGGAGTCCTTGCCTAAAGGCACATGGCTCCTGTCTGAAGGCTCTGGCTAAGAGGATTTTAGAGGATTGGGATGTTTGTCTGTTCAGTATGTGGGATACCTTCTTAGGAAGTTCTGTGTGGCTTCAGGTAGCAGTCTGGCACAGTGGCAGTTACAGCTCTCCTGCAGGCCTGTTTTGTTTTCTCATGCGAGAATTGTAAAACATGTCACAACTGATGGATATTTCTAGAACAATAAAGCAACCTTTTTTGTTATTGTACTACTGCTGGAAAGAAAACTGCCTGGAAAGTATTATTGAGGAGTTTCAGCTGACTGTTTGGACAATGGCAGTATGTTTATCCCATATGATTACTGTATGCCTTAGATGCCCATTGGCTCTTGACCTTCTTTATTTTCAGTTGCTATCCAGTTTACTAAGAAAAAAAAATACCCTTCCCCTGAAGACTTGTAAGGCCCTCCTGTTTCCCTCTCTGTCATGACCATCATTACTTGTTAGAAATGGTTCCTACAGGAGAGGAGGGGACATCTGCAATACTGGTAGCTTCCAGGACTTGGAAAGCTGCTGCTACTCTTCTGCATGATGCTCTAGGATGTGGGTTGCCCACTGTGACTTTGGAAGTGGAGTTTGTACTGTTTAAGCTTCTGAACACTAAAGGATACCCATCCTCTGTCACACAAGGGGAATCACATCCAGTGTGGCCAGGTTAATAAGTATGCAGTACCACTGCTGTTCTTCAAATATACTATAGTGGAAGCTGCTAAATTAATTGAAAGTGGAAGTGAATGCTTTAACCAATCTTTAATGTAGTGAGGTTGGAGTATACTACTGTAATTGCAACTGATCTAGCAGAATTTCTCATTTGGCCTGCTTTCTCAGCTAGCTTTCCCACTCAGTCATCTGATTAAGCTCTCTTACAAGGAGGGTGGGAGGGTAAGCTGTTGCTGTGAGAAGTGACAGTTCATCAGAGTTCATGGGATTCAAAACTGAGGGAGTACTGGGTCAAGGTTGTGTATTTATATCCCTAAGAGGATCTTATGCAATTCTCTCAACTGTCAACTGGTGCTGAAAAATAGTTTTGGACAACTATGCTCATGCACGTAATTCCTGCATTGTGCTTATGTAGCAGGGACATGATTTGAGAGCAAGAGCAGCTGTTTTGTTCTCTCACTTTAAGCCAAGAAAACTTTGTGCTCTAGACATTTTCCCACTTCTAGTATGTGCTATCTCATGATGCAGATGTGCAGTATCTTGCATGCAACTTGTTTAAAATTTAATGGCTGAAATCACAATATAGTGGTCTCCTTAGAAACAACATTTTCACAGATGTTATATGAAAATTGTTACTGAGCTTTGTGTTATCACGCTTGAACTGGGGAACAAACAAAAAAGCTAGAACTGATTAAAGTGCGATAATGAGTTCCAAGTGTTGTCCACGGCTAACGGAAGGCAGAGCCATGCTTCATAAAAATAAAATGCTCTTAAACTGAGCAGGGCTGCTTTCCTTTCTGTTGGAAGGTGCAGGGTGGAGTTTGGATTTCTTTTTTGTCAAACTGAGACCTTCTGAGCTGATGGTTTACACTTGCACGTCTGTGAGATTCCAAAATGTTTTTGAGAGGTGAACTATTAATGACTGAATCCTTTTCAGTTACATTCAAATGTTTTCCTCCCTTCCCCTCCTTTTCTTCTAGGTTGATTTATATCAGTTACAAGTAAACACACTTCGAAGGTACAAAAGACACTTCAAGCTACAGACCAGACCAGGCCTTAACAAAGCACAGCTTGTTGAAGTATGTATAAGTGTTTGTTCCATAATAGAAAATGCAACTTGCTATGGCATGTGATTTTCTGTACAATGTGATCCTTGCGTGAAGAGCATACGTAATCTGGATTTTAAGAACAAAAGGGAACTAACTGCTTATCTAGCTTCCTTCATAGGCCACAGCTTCTGAGCCAAGTAAATCAAAAGTAAAAGTGCTTTCCGGAGGAAGGACTCTTAACTTCTGAAAGCAGTGTGTGCTGCTTAAAAACATGAAATACTGTGCTGTAACAGTAAGGTGATCTGTGTGTCCTAAATATCCTAGAATGACAGGTGTGTAGTCTGTGCATCAGTCATGCCTCTGCCCAAAGTGTCCTGCTGAAAACAACTAGAAACTGAGAGGAGGTGACAGCGAAGTTCTAGCAAGGTTCAGACTTTGCTTTATAAAGCTAGTTAATGCAAACCTAGGTGTTTCTGTGTATGTAAAGTATGAAAAGCAAAAAAATAGGCTTCTATTGATGATTATGTTAATTAGTCCCACTGGGATCTGCCATCAGAAAAATGGAACTTCATGAAATTCATTTTTTTTTCAATAATTCTAAAGGCACTGAAGATGTGTACGAGAACAGCTCTATGTGAGCATCTTTGCTGTATGCGAGTGTCATTTTAAGAGAATTCTGCACTGCAAAGGTGCAGTTAAAGCAAGCTGATGTAAATACATGGGAGAGTCAGTGATGTTCTCTTAACAGGGAGGTCCAGCTGCACTTGCTTCACTTCTGTGCAGTTGTACTTCAGTGCAGGTGATTTGTTGATCTCTCCTTTCATCTGTGTGAATTAAAGGCAAGGTTCCTTTATGTGTGGCAGATCTCAAAGCTGAGTCATAACAGAATAGTGCTACTGCCACTACAAGTAAGTATGTAAAATCAGTCATTTTTTTTCTTGTGTGTGAGTTGAGATACAACTAGCTCTTGAATTACAAGGCTGTGACTTGAAAAAACACGAGCAGGTTTTTTTTTCTGTAAAACTGGCATTTCTAAGGGTCTGATTTAGGCACATCTCATCAGGTATTTGCACTAGCTTATGCTTCCTATGCTGCTTGATGAGAATAGGCAAAGCTTCCTCTGTTGCGTGCTTTGAGTGACCTGCAGGTACTTGTGAGCCGTAGCTGCATAAATTCTTTAGCTTACAGTGCATGTGATCCCTAGTAACCTGCTCTAATGTACAATAGACACTCCTCTACCTGTCACTTAAAGCCCACTTCAAAGGACTCTCTCTGAATTTTTTGGGGGTGGGGCTTAGAAGGCTTTCTAACTTGCTAACTAGGCTAAACATTTTTAATTCTGTCCTGTGGCAGTTTCATGAGCAGTCAAATGTTTCTCACTTGCTAATTTTAATCGACAAAAATATTCTGCAAAAAACCCAGAGAATAGACTCAGGCAGGTATAGTATTTTGCATGTTTTTTTTTTAAAGCTGGTATTTGATGAAAGGAAAGAATTCTGAAATTACAGAAGTGACTCAAGGACTGGTTAGAGATTGTAATGTTTTAGTGGTTACAGCATGGTGAATTTTCATTGATAGCTCTGTTTTGAAGTGCAGCATGTTCAATTATAGTTCTTAAAGATTCTTGTATTGTCTTAGATGTTCTATTTGTTACTTAATACAGGCACAAACCCCCAGCATCGATAATGAGCAGTAGCCTCTCATTTCTGTACTGTAGTTCTCTTGCTAGTCTATAGTTATTACTTGCTTTAGAGTCAAGCTTTAATTACACAGATGTAATGGTACTTCCAATGCTTGTTTTGATAACTTTTTCCCCCCCCGAATTTTTTTTTTTTACTTAAGAAATTAGGGTACAATCTGCTATATTTGATTCATAGTTCTTAATAAAATGGTTTCTGTTTACCTGTTAAAGCAATGTAACTTTTCCTTTTTTTTTTTTTTTTAAGCTTCTAGATCAAGCTTTTAAACTTTAATGTAGTAGATTTAAATCTGAATATTCAGTTTCTGCATATAAGGTGGTTATTTAATTTCCTTGCATTCTTCCTTTATAGATAATTGGCTGCCATTTTAGGACAATTCCAGTGAATGAAAAGGACACCTTAACATATTTCATCTACTCGGTGAAGAACGACAAGAACAAACCAGATCTGAAGATGGATAGTGGGGTTCATTAGACGGAAAAGGTTGGGACTGAAACTCAGGCCACAAATGAAAAGACTGAGGGTTTTTGTTGATATGCAGAAGCTTTCTTTTTAACTTTTTCTCCCCAGAGAGTTTGTCTCTGTTTTATTTTTCATAACCTTGCTGATTTGGTTGAAAACCATCTCTATGAAACAAATTTCCTCAGCAAAAGTATTTTAAATAAATATCACTGATATTGTTGCTCAAGTGGGTGTGTCTGTAACTTATTTAGTGAGTTACTTGTACTTAATAGTTAAGTTTTGACTGATGATGTAATATTATTAAAATATTTTTCAATTAAAGTGTGCCAAGGTTATATTTATGAATGTACTTCAAGTTCTCATGATGCAATGCCTTAAAGAAAAAAAAAAAAAGCAAAAAATAGCTGTAGCAGACTTGGCGATAGATACTTTTTCCTGAGGTAAAAGGCTTTCAATGACAGCTCCAGTTGTTAGCTGGGCGGAAATGGCTATATAACATTTTGATTTTTCCCCTCTGGAAACCAGAATTGATGGAGGGGTGTCTGACTGTTTGTTTTTTTTTTAATTCATCTTGTCATCTCTGGGATACGTGCTGCTAAGCACCGAGACCTTCCTGCTCCTATATTAAAATGAAGAAAAAAAAAATGCAGCTCTCAAATTTCAAAGCTGTAAGTACGCATGAAAAAAACTGCTGTGGCTTAGTGTGCTGAGAGATCCTTCCACTTGGTAAGAAATCCTTTAGCTGCTGGCTTTTCCATTCACCTGTATAGGCTGTGGCTATGAAATTAATTGGAGGATGAAAGACAAGAGTTCGTGCTCGGTCAATATGGTATCTCCTAATAGTCATATTATACTTTTTCAATGCATGCATTAGCTCAGACCTGCTTAAATAAAAACAACCGACCAAAACCAAGTTGAAACTCATGGTGACATGTGAGAAAAATATCCAGCAATACTTTTAAATCAATATCTTAGTAAAGTTTGATGTTGAACATGATATTTTAAATGAGTTCTTGTCTTGTTGTTTAATGGTTGTGCCAGTCTAAATGTGAAGTGTATGGAATATGGTTTCTTTCTCCTTCAAGCTATGCACGTAGGCTGAAGGAAAGGTGAAGGGAGAAGATCCCTCATCTTAAAGCAGAGAAGGACACAGCTTCAGCATGTTCAGTTAGCATTTGTTGCAGCTCTTAACCTTATCAGATGTTGAAAAGCTTTTTCTTAGTTTGGGAAAAATGACAAAGCATATTTTTATGGTCTAATCTGCTCAGTGTTAATATCATGAGGTTTTTGAAAATTGCTGCTTTGCTGGTATCACTTCAACTAGGATTATAGAATCATAGAATATGCTGAGTTGAACCTATCAGAATCATTGAGTCCAACTACTGTCCCTGTGTAGGGCACCCCACGATTCATGCTGGGTGCCTCAGAGCATCACCTAAATGCTTCTTGAACTCAGGCAGGCTTGGTGTTATGACCATTTCCCTGGGGACCTTGTTCCAGTGCTCAACCACCCTCTGGGTAAAAAACCTTTTCCTGATATCTATCCTAAACCTCCCCTGATTCAGCTTCCTGCCGTTTCCCTGAGTCCTGTCATTGGTCACAGGAGTGAAGAGATCTGTACCTGCCCCATCTCTTCGCCTTGTGAGGAAGCCATAGACTGCAATGAGGTCACCCCTCAGCTTCCCCTTCTCCAAGCTGAATAATCCAAGTGACCTCAGCTGCTCCTCACAAGTCATCCCTTCCAGACCCTTCACCATCCTTGTGACTCTCCTTTCAGCACTCTCCAATAGATTGATGTCTTTATATTGTGATGCCCAAAATTGCACACAGTACTCAAGGTGAGGCAGCACCAGTGCAGAGTAGAGTGGGACAATCACCTCTGTGCTTGAGGCACCTCAGGCACAGTTGGCCCTCCTGGCTGGCTTATCTTCAGTTTCCCATCAACCAAGGTCCCCAGGTCCCTCTCCACTGCACTGTTCTCCAGCCACTCATTCCCTGTCCCAGGTACAGAATCTGGCACTTGCCCTTGTTAAACTTCATGTGTTTGGTGATTGCCGTTCTCTGACTTGTTGAAGTCTCTCTGAACTCTAGGGAGTTCACAGATACTCCCATTTTTGTATCATCAGCAAACTTGCTTAGAGTTCCTTTGAGTATTGTCTCCAAGTCATTGATGAAGATGAAGAGTGACCAAGTCACCAGCCTGATGTTACCCCATTTAGTGTCACTCCCCAGCCGCATGCTAGACATTTTGTCCAAGTGAATACTGTGAGAGACAGTATCAAAAGCCTTGCTTAAGTCCAGAAATACTACATCCACTCTCTTTCCTTGATCAACTAGGTGAGTTACCTTATCATAAAAAGAATTTAAGTTCTTTAAGTTCTCAAGCGAGACTTTCCCTTCATGAACCTGTGCTGGCTGTGACCAATGACTGTGTTGTCCTCCAGGTGTTTTTCAATACCTCCTAGAATAATCTTTTCCATAATTTTACCAGGCACTGAAATTAGACTGACTAGCCTGTAGTTTCCAGGATCTTCCTTCTTGCCCTTCTTGAATACTGGAACAGCATTAGCCAGCTTCCACTCAACTGGGATCTCGCCAGGTTCCCAGGACTTCCAAAAAATCACAGAGAGAGGCCTATCAATGTCATCAGCCAGCTCTTTGCGGTTTCTCAGATGGGTCCCATCAGGCCCCATGGACTTGCAGGGATCTAACTGTAGCAGCAGATCCCGCACAAGTTCAGGGTCAGCTAAGAGTTGATCCTTGTTGCAGTCGTGGTCCTCCAGTTACGGGCGTTGAGGCCCCCTTGGTCCATTATCCCGCACAGTTCTGGCCAGTTTCAACTCCAGTTGGGCTTTGGCCTCTTAAATTTTCTCCCTACAGTGGTTAGCAGCATCTCTGTATTCTTTCCACATCACCTGAACTAGCTTTCACTGGCATACACCTTCCTTTTTTGCCTAATGTATAAGAGCGAATCCCTGTACAGCCAAGCTGGTATTCTGCTTCTGTGCCCTTAGGAGGTGATGTTTAAAGAGTGACCAGCACCCATGAACCCCAGAACCTGCAGAAATATTTTCCCAGAGGACTTGACTCAGCAGCTCCTTAAGCAGCTTGAAGTCTGCTCTTCTTGTGTCCAGTGTTGAAGTTTTGTGAACAGTTTTCCTCTTGTCAACAGAGATTTTAAACTCAATCACCTTGTGGTCACTGTGGTTGAGATGATCCCCAATCTCCACTCATGAGATCCTCTTTTTTGACAACCAGCAGATCAAGGAGGGCATTCTTCCGAGTTGGCTCCCTTATGACCTGTTCCATAAAGCTGTCAGCCAGGTGGCTTAAAAATCTTCTGGCCTGGGTTGTGCTGGCTGTATGTTGCTCCCAGTTGATTTCTGGCAAGTTGAGGTCCCCCCTAAGGACAAGGGTGGTTGACTTGGAAGCTTTGCTTTTTTGACCTGTGATAGTTGTTTAGCACTGAATGATGATAAACCATAACCTAAAACTGGCTGCCTTCCCAGTAGCTTTCTCCATTAGTTCTTCCAGTTCTTCTCTCCATTAAACAATAAATAGTATCTTTTGAGCAGTATTTTAACATACTTCAGGCTTGTTAGAATGCATGAGATGATACAAAATAAGTAGAGACATAGGAAAATTACCACAGGGTGACAGTTACAGTTGTATCTGATCATTATACTACAAAAATGACCTTAGTACGGGACATTCTGTTTTCAATTAGTAGGAAAGAACAATATTAATTCATAAAAATATATCCTCTCATCTATTAACTTCAAGTGGACTTTTTGGTTATATACTGAATAAACACATGCTAAAAATAATGTTAGGAGAATAATAATGTGATTTCTTACACTTGCACTGTCCTACATATTTCCACAAAAAAGTTCTGCAGTGTTTGCCTAAGTTCAGGGCAGTTAGTCATATCTAGCATGTGGCAGCTGAAATTGGTATTCCTTCAAAGAGATGCTTTAGTGCCCATTTCACTACAGTGACTGTAAGTTTGTTTGCTAAATATCCTTTGCACATATTCAGATTTTCACCTTCAAAGTACTTGTTAGAGAGGCAGCCAGGGAACATGCCTGTGGATGGGACATCTGAAGGAGAAAGACTTTTTCTCTGAGTGCATGGCAGGAGTGAACATTCTCACCTAGTCCCAGCAGGACCTGTAGAAGAAGCTTTGAGAGGGAAGGAGAATGGGGAGAGAAACAAAAGGAAGTTTATATGGGAAGTAGCCTAGGTGATCCTATCCTTCTGCGTGTGGAAAGCCACAACATTTTTCTCCAGTGGTTTGTGGATTTTCCTTAGCCAGGAGTGGTGGAAGGAAAGTAACTGAAAATCACCTATTAATTTGACTACTAAATTTGCATCTGCCTTCTTTATTTTTTGCTACTGCTGCTTTGGAAAGCTGTGAATGCCAGGCATATGCAACATGATTTGTGTGGAAACTAGATGGCAGAAACAACAGAAGTTACATGCCCTTATTTCTTCTAGAAGCTATAGAGGATTCTGCACAAGAGCAGATACCATATGTTTTCTTAGTACAGCACTGACTTGGGATATTTTGACTGTGGCTTGTCAGATTTGTGGGGGTTTCTTTATCCTTAATTGATGATTTGATAAGAAGCCCAAATTACTCAGGAATAATAACACAAACCAGGCTTAAAAATAAAAGCCTGGTGACACAAAGTGTGTGTTAAACAGTCAGAAGCCTAAGAATTACTTGGCAAAAACAGTACACACAGATTTACTTGAAACATTTATTATTAGCTATGTATAATCACCCTCACACACACCCACTAGCCAACCCTCCTTTACTAACAGAGGAAGAAAAACAGTTGTTGTGATAATTCATACTGTACATGACATAAATCTGGTAAACCGGTGGTAGCAGTTTTTGTGGTGTAAAGGTGTAAGATTATTAGCTGAACAATAAGTACATTTTTGGGGTGGAAAAGACTAAATAATTACTTAAGTACTACACACATTCCATATGACTAACTTGATAGCTAAAGAGTTTCTCTATCTGTAAGACAGTAAGCCAGGCTTACTGCCTGTAAGCCTGTGTTGTTCAGGTGGCTTTCCTTAATCTTATGAAGGGACATGAATTTTGGCTGGTTTTCTTTTGTGCTGTGATTGGTATTGGCAGGTGTTGAGAGGTGACTGTATCTACAGCCTAGAGCAGGATACCTCTTAAGATGATTGCTTCTAATATTTTGAGATACCTCTTTGTCTTCACTTCCTTAGCTATTTCCTTACAGGGCTAACTTAAAAATAAAAACCCAGCATTTCAACTCAATTTTGGGGTCCTGTATTTCAAACAAAAGCTGCTTATGTATGGATTTTTATGTTGCCTTAACAGATCTTGCATTAGTCCAATCCTGAATATAGTCTTTCTGAATATAGATACACACACTATTGTAACTGTTCTAGTATTTTAAATGTTTAATGTTAAGATTAAGCAGTTTAAGGTTTCACAGATTGCATAGTTAATACAGTTGAGCAGTTAGACATCATTAAGGCCTAAGTGTGCTTTTGTACTATTAATGGGAGTATTGAATTATTTTTTCCAGTAGAATTTTCAAATATAAATAGTGAAAGTTTGCCTTTTGTCCATGCATGTATTTTAAGATATCTGAATAGAACATGGGAGCCTGTTTGCAGAAGCACCAGAGACTGAGTAACTTCATCTTAAAACAACACTAACTGTGTGAAGGCAATAAAGCAATACAGGAAGCTGCATTTGCACTAGGTTACTACAAGAGTCACGTTCTTAATCTTGGAGTTTCTTTATTAAAACTAGTTGAGAATGTTGTGCTGAGTAACATGAGTTAGGCTTTTTTGCTAGAGGATGCAGTAAGACCTTGTACACTCTTACACCATTAGGGCAGCTACCAAATTTAAAAAGATAATTCCTTACCTATTTGAGATTCTACAAAGGTATGTATGGAAAGGAAATTTTTCTACAATGTAAACAGAGACACTGTCTTGTGGTTAGAAAGTGTTTTGTTTTGTTTTGTTTTTGCTTGTGGTGGCTTTGTTTTGCCCCTGGACAGCATTATTGCATTACTGGAGAGTGATGTCTGTTGTCTTCACCAGCAGACTCGATGTCCATCACTGACTGTTGCAGGGAATCACAAAAGATATCTTTGGTCCAAAGAATACATCCCTGAAAGATATTACCAGATATTTAAATAATTACATTATTGCTTTGTCAGAACTTTGACATTACTTCCATTTCCAGTTGGCAGGTTTTTTGGTTTTTTGTTTTGTTTTGTTTTGCTTTGCTTTTGGTGAGATGTTGGTGTGTTTGTGGGATGCCCTTCCAGCAATGCAGCTGCAGGTTGTTATGAAGATACTGTATTTCTACCTCTGCTGGCCTGATTTAGAAGTGATGGTAAACCTTTCACTGACTGACTAGAGTACCAGTTCCCCACCCAGGAATTTTAGCTTTGAGAAAGCAAACTTAGCAAATATGTCATAAAAATAAAGAGCTTCTGCATGTGCACGCATACGGTTTAGTACAATTTGCCCTGAGAGCAGATGTGCTAAGTAGGTCCTTGCTAACTCAAGATGGTTGAAAGAAGACATCCTTATGTATTTGTATCAGAGTAAAAGGCTTTTTTAGACTACTCAAAGCTCAGAGGTTGAATCTGGAAACCCAGAGTGTGCTTCAGGGTGAGGACACTGGTTTTAGAGAGAGTATAAAAGCCCTGTTCTCAGTTTGAGTTTGAGGTTTCTGGCTTCAGAAGTCATTCCTATTTGGTTCCCTATAGGAGTGCTGAAAGTTTGCCTTTTATTGGACTTCAGGGGACTTGAGAAACTTGGGTGATAATAGGAGAATGTACAAAAAGTAATTTATGCTTAACTATATAATGCCAGCACATTTTAGTGTCCCTGTATTGATAAGTGGATTTGTTGATATTTTTAATCTAAATTTCCTGAAGAAAAGATACTGCTGGAAAGCTGAAATGAGACAATAACTTCTAATACCTTTCATTACTTTGAACCAGTATGAGCTGGCACTGTTTATTAACTCAATATTATTTTTGTTGGGATTGTGCATTCC